GTGATAGTTGCTGCCTTGGTTGAGGGAGGGAAGATGAAGGCGAACAACTTGATGTGCGTGGCACAGTGCAGGGTACGCTGGCAGAGCTGGCCAAGTGCGGGAGGTTGTTTCTCGTGGCTTTAGACCACTGGGATACATGCCGACGGGCCCTGCCCAATCCCCAAGCATCCAGGAGCTGGTCTTGGGGGCTTCTCTCTCCTTTCCTGGGTCCCACCGTCTTGTTCTCTTTGCTCTCTGGTTTCCAGATTCCCTTGGTCCTGCACTTGAGTCCTGGCCTCAGCCAGGTGGCTGCCTTGCTGGCTTTCAGGCTCCCTTCCTGGTCAGGGGCATCCTAGAATTTCCTGGGACTTGGCTTCCAAAATCCAAATGCACCCATCCTTAAGTATGTCTTGCTTCTCTACCTTTGCTGAAATCTCCTTCTTCAATTGTCTGTACCATCTCTGAGGCTTGGTGCCAATGCCACCTCCTCCACAAAGCCTTCTTAGATTTCTCCTGATTCCTCCTGGAACTTCCATAATGCTTTGTGGTCTCTTTTTGCAGTCATTTGTGCTCTTCTCTGCAGCCTTCCCTCCCCCATAGCCTGGAAGCACTGGGCTGTGTCTTCTTCATCCAGAACCCAACACCCAGCAGAGTGCTCAGCTGGCAGGCAGCTGGTCTCAGCTGGATTAAAGGAAAGCCCTGATTAGCCCCATTCCTCCAGCTTGCCTGGTCTCCTGACTCTTCTCCCTTCTGAAGTTTTTCCTCCACCCAATCCCCACCTTACGCTTGCCCTCACTGGCCACTTCAAATTGGAATAATGTTGTGGCTGCAGCTGAAGGCCTCTCTCCCAGTTGGCTGAGCACCCCCTGCCAAGCCTCCTGGACCGCATCCTTGCTGGCACTGGCCTATAAAAGAACCTCACACCAGCCAAAGAACATAATCATCAGGGCAGCAAAAGAGAGTGGAACCTACTTCTCAAAATTTGGCTTTGCCAGCTCAGCCATGGCCTCTGGCTTCTCCTGGCCCCAGGACCACCCAAACATCCCACTGGTTGGTATTTCGGGGCAGTGGTTTCTGCTTCAGGTCATATGGGGCCTGGTGTTCTGGCTGCCTTTGGGACAAGCCAGCTCTTCCCCCTTTAGCAGGGAAGCTTCAAACTCCCTCCCTTGAAAAGGGCAATGGATCTTGGAGTTTGTATGTACTGCTCTCCCTCCATCCCCCCGTCACCCCATCCAGCCCATGCCTCCCTCATGAGGAATCAGGAGGGCAAAGGTCCAGGAGCCTGGGGGAGATCACATGGTGAGGACAGGACGCTAGGCTTTGGGAAGGGGTTATTGTCCTCAAGGGGACTTTCCAGGCCCGGCTGGCTCCTGCTGAGAGTGGCAAAGAGAGACTGAATTTCGTTTCTTCTCCATAGTTGTTGGCTCTCTTGACTTATAGGGCTTGCTTCCCCCCCGCGCCCCAGCTTAAACTGGGCAGCAGATGTGAGGGAGGTTTCTCTGACTGCTGCAGAGAATCTCTCTGCAAAGCTCA